TTCAAATTAAGTAGATCTATAAACACATGAAAATCTTGAAAATGGACGGTCCAGATAATGTGTTGCAAGATACACTATTTCGCAGACACTAAATCTTTTTTCCTTTTCATATTCATACATCTCAATGTTGAGATGATCAATTAGAAGGTTTTCCAACATCCAAAGAACCTTTGAAGGTGGAAGTTTGAGGTGCACCATTAATTCTACATTTTAAGATTGCAACCTTATATAAACTTTTCCTTATGATGATTTATAATTCTTTTTCTCTCACAAAGAGATAATTAGGAATTCAAATTAACTCAAATTGGTCAAAGAATATCTAGATCTAAAAAACAATTTTGTTAAGAAAATATTTTTGGATAAAACAAACCAAGATTTTTTTTCTCAAGATAACCTTTCAACCAAAAAGATAATATTTTCGAAAAAATGACACCTCACAAGTTTTCCAATACCATGGAAAACCTTGGGATTCCCACTATGGGGTGTGCGGCCCATGTGTGACCCACGTCCCACACCATGTGGGCCCCACATGTGTGGAGGCTGGGCTCTTAGCCTCCCTCATGTGGGTTCTACCTAATTTAAGTAAATTTCTAAAAAGAACCCTCTTATTTAAAAATTACAGAAATACCCTTTAGGATTTTTTATACATTTAAACAACAGTTTTAGAATTCTAAAAGATATCCATAAATCACAAAAAGACTTATTTGGTTGGAAATTATATTTTCGGAGTTCTTTAAAAATTTCAAAATGCAAAGAAATACTATTTAGAAGTGGATTGGCACTAGTGACGGACATGGCACTCCAACCATTCCAAGAACTATGATCCACTATTATCGTCTCAAGCCAACCTAGCAAGACCCGTGAACCACAATCAGGTGCAGGAGTACATGATAGACCCATCAAAGCAAGCCAATAAATAGTGGAACCATAGTCCTAGTATGTAGATTACTGATTACAGGTTCTTCCTTAAGTGTAAGTCAAAATGCAGATATCACCATGGTGCAAGGAGGCTCTCTCTATGTACATGTACATGTCCCTTTATATAGGGTTGCTTCCCAAAATGTGGTTGTCATATGTATAATGTCGTGTAGAAGCTTTGTTAAGGATTTGGCTCTCACTCTCGCATGCCCTTCCTCTACACACAGGAGACCACACAACTCTCTTATCCTACAGACATCCCAGGGCATCTCTCCAACTTTAACAAAGGAGTAATTAAAGACTTTAATCCATTAGCCTGCTCAACAGCTCCTACAAATCCTACCTAAAGTCCTTGCCCCTTGCTTACAATGTGCTTCTTGATTATCTCCTAGAACTAAGTTGCCTTCGTCAAGGACTACTAGATCCTCGATGGGGCCCTAGTAGCCCACGAGTGTATACACTCTAGACAACTCTAAAAAGTCCCAAGAGTTGCTATTAAACTTGATTGGGAGAAGGCCTACATTCATGTCGATTGACGAGACCCTTTCTAGGTGGGATTCGTAGACCATTGGAGGGCCTGGTGAGGGGTTACGTCTCCAAATCAAGTGTTAGAAAGAGCAACTCGGGCCGAGTATCGAGTAACTCGGCCCAAGTTGGGCCAAGAATAGTAGCAGCAAAACAGTGTGAAAAAAACTTGAAGTATAAAAAATCTTAAAAAATAACAAAAATATGTTTAAAGTAAAATTAAACAAAACCCATCTAAATGAGGTTAAAAAAACAGTGAAAAATGGATTTTGAACAAATCAATTTGTGGCCGGGGGTACTTTAGAAATAATCCAAAAAGAAGCGAAAATGTAAAAATAAGTATTTGTGGCCAAAACGTTTTCCAATATTTTCCAAAAAGCTAGAAAAACATAAAAAAACATATTACAAATAAATTCCTTTTTTATGTTTTACAATCTTTTTAAGATACCCGAGTTGGACACCCAACTTAGGGATACTAGGGCTCACCAAGGTGGCGAGCCAGAGTTACTCAAGCTCGCCTGAGCAGTCGAACACTGTCCGAGTCCTTATTTTTCCATCAGTGACTACCGAAAGGTTTCTTCCCCTCTTCAAGAGGTCTAAGACAAGGTGATCCCTTCTATCCCTTTTCATTCGCTATCCTTGCCAAAGTCTTTAGTAGATCCATCGATAGGTTGTACCTGCAAGGGCTCTTAAGAGGCTTTGGTATCAGTAGCCAAGATCCAGTGATCTCACATCTCCACTATGTTGATGACACCTTGCTCTTTCGTGATGCTTCCCATGAACAAGTTAATCTTGCAACTCTACCTCAAACGCTTTGAAGTAGCTACTAGCCTAAGGTTCGACATGGACAAAACTAAGATGATGGGAGTTTCAGTAGGAGCCCAAATTGCCTACAACCTTGCTGGGCAATTTGGCTGTGTAGTAGATCAGCTGTCCTCCAACTACCTAGTTTCACCCCCTATGTATCGGTAAACCAAAGCAGACTTGTGGCTTGGGACCCTATCATAGAATAATTCAACCACAAACTTGTCGCTTGGAAGGGGAGGTTCCTTTCAATGGCGGTCAGAACCACTCTCATCACGTCTACCCTCTCGAATGCCCTGTCTACCAAAAATGTCTGTATTTCTTTGGACCAACAAGCTACGAAGGGTGACCAATTCAAGGTCTTAGGCAATCGGAAGGTTTGGAATCCCAACCTCAAAAGGCTCCTCTTGGATCGAGAGCTCTCTGACTTTAAGTCACTCTCCTCCCTCTTTCAATCAATTTTTCTCCTTGTCACAAAGAGGACACTATGATTTAGATGCCAGCTGCTCCGAGTAAGTTCATGGTGTCTTCTATCTATCATAAGTTGCAGAACCCACCTACTTGCCCCTCTCTCCTCTCTCCCCCTTCTCTTGCCACTAGAGCCTGGCTCACCTCCATTGCCCCCAAGATCTAAGTCTTCAGGTGGATAGCTATATCTGAGAGAGCTCTGACAAAGGACCGATTCCAAAAAAGTAGCTTGCAGGTCCCTAACAGATGCGCCATGTGCAAATCAGCTGAAGAAACAAACGCACACTTCTTCATTCACCAGAATGGGCCCTATGGGGGAATATGATGCTGCTATCAATTGGATGAGTGACCCCCAGATCAGTTCCCTACCCCTTCCTTCCCTTAAATCCCCCTTGTCTGAAGTCCGGCATCTTCCTATGGTGTGCCTCCATTACGGCCACTTTGTGGGTGATTTGAACTGAATAGAACCAAAGGATCTTCCAAGGGAGGGAGTCCACCATTGGAGCCTTAAAGGATCGTATTTGTGCAATGGTTATCTTTTGGGCCCTCGCACCACAACTTTTCAGGCACCACTTCTTTACTAACTTCTCGATGCTATACCTCAGACCACTTTGGAGACCACCAAAGCAAGGCCAAACTAAACCCAATTTTGACATTGCTCTCTCAGCAACCCCATACTGGCTGGAATTGGATAATCTTCAGAGACTACAATGGCTCCACCCTGCTTCTCTTTTCCAAACATATTGAACATGAAGACTCCACAACAGCTGAAGCCCTTGCCCTCCTCAAGGCTTAAAAATTTTAATCCCAATTGGAACCTCATTGGGTTATAGAGGGGGACTCCAAGAACATCTCTTGGGCCACAAGGGCAACACCCTCTCCATGGAGGCTCCTGCACATTTTTTAAGCAACTTTCGACCTTTGCAGGCCTATACATCTGCTGGCCACATACACAACATGAGGCGAATGCGGAAGCCAACGGTCTTGCTAAGTGCGGAGCACTCTCAGGCAGCACATTAGGGACCATTTTGGCACCTTTTTGAGCTTTCGCTCCGAAGGCTTCCAATCTTTTTGGTGTTTTGTTGGTTGTACCACATTTTTTTGGATGTATAGCAGTTTTTTGGTTTTACGCTTAATTTTGTACAAAAAGCATAAAAACAAAAGGCTCTGATGATGATTCTTAATTTTGTACAATGCGTGCTGCCTGTGGTCTGTCACTCCTTTTGTATCTTCTAGACCAATTAATAGAAAAGTGAACATTAACTCAGAAAAGAAGGCCCATATCCAATGCCACCAAATGGACGGTTTGCATTCACCGAAAATCATGGATTCATTTTCCCCCATTTTTCATGCGAATTCTTCATGACCCGCATAGATGAGATCTACACGTGAAGCAAAATTTGGGTCCAAAGGAACTCGAATTTTCACAGTGGCTTACGCTACCTGTTGGCATATATAACCTTTTCCATATGTATTGCAAAGAGCCTAGAACCATATAAAAACGGTTCCGTTTTAGGAGAGGCCTATAACTTCCTGAATGTAAGGTTTTCAGTTCAGGAGAAGTAGCAATCTATTTCTTAGAGAGATAAATGTCATGGAGATTCGCTTTCTGAATTATCCTTCTATTGTATACTTTGCGGATGTTTACCATAAGCTGGGTGCAGTAAATCAAGTGGAAAGCCATTGGAATGTGTTCTCAGGTGTGGGAAATACACCTATTCAGGCTTGAATATGAAAGATTGTCAGATGTGCAGCTTTATCTTTTTTATGTTCACCTTTGGGAATTAACTGTGTGACTCCCACGATGAAAAAATCAAATATTACTGTGGACGTCGACAGCTTGACATGTTGTAGTTTAATCAATTGATTTATTAACTACTAAAAGGAAGTAAAAATAATTTCCAATTTCTATTTCTCCTAGAATTAGTTCAGGGAGGAATACTTATAAATCCTCAACCAATTTTGAGTCCACAATCCACATCTTTCAAATACAAACAAGAGAAATTATACCTCATAACTCATTATATGATTCTCGTGAACAATAACATTGCAGCTTTATGCAGCAGTAAGTTCAATACTGATACCCTCAGCAAACTATGACTCAAAAATCCCGATAAGTTCACTTTCAAAAAAAAAAAAATCCCTATGAGCTAAAAGATGAAGACAATTTAAAAATAAAAAAGATTCAAAACTCAGTCAAGGGAGATGTCCTCCATAAAATCGTTAAGGATAAATTGACTTTCTGATAACAATGAAGGAACTAAACTGATATTAAGGAAACATACCCTTCCTCTATACTCTCCAGGTCAATGTCCATGACAATCTTCATCATTTGCCTCTCACAAGCAGCACTCGTCTCAATGAACTGTTTCTGATGATCCGATAATTCTGTACTCTCCAAGAGTTTGTTGGTGAAACGAATTCCATTCAAAGGGTTCTTCATCTCCTGGCAAATGTATGCCAACTCTTTCATTCTAGCAAAACACTTCTTCTCTTGTTGCCTCTGCATTTCTAGGGCTTGTTGTAGGTCTGGGCTTGCTATTTGCATAAAACAAAAGGCCCCAATAATCTGCCCATCCAAATTGGCCCTTTTATTAGCAGTTAAAAGAGCTTGAACATATTTCCCATTCCTATCAAAGAATGAAAAGGGAAACTTGTCTGTGTCCTGACCCCCAATTGCACTATGTAAAACAATCATGAATTTTGTTAGGGCATCAGGGCCCTTTAGCTGGCAACAACTGCCAAAAACCTCCCCAACAAGCATCCTTCCCATAACTTCTCCTCTCCCCCACCCAGTAACTTTCTCCATTGCAGTATTCCACTCAGAGCAACAAGTATTCTCATCTGCGGCAAATATGGGTGGGATCAAAGCATTGGGGTTATGTATAATGGCCTTGTAATCACCTTGAATGTGAATAAATTTATCCATGACCATTTTCTGGCCTGTTACATCTTGACCCACGAAGCAAACCCCAACAACATTGTTTGTGTAGTCCTTGCTTGAGCAGGCATTGACCACCACATATACTGCCTTTTTCTGATCTTGAGAGCCAAAAGTTTTCAGCTTTATCTCTACATTCTTATCTTCTTCCCCTGCACAAGTATAGAGCACTTGAGCACTCCTATTATATACAACTAAAACCTATACAACATAGAAGAAGGTCAAACCCGTATAAAAACTGAAATGAACAAGAAAACAGAAGAGTACTACGATTTTCCATCTTATATGGGGGTAGACTGCAAAAAAGTCCATAACTTGGCCTGGGCTTGGCAGAGCCAATAAAATGTGTGAAAAAGTCGAAAACAATAATAAAGCAATAAATGAAAAGAAAAACAAAACCCAATCGAAGGGAAATGAACAATGCCAAACAATAAATGAAAAGAAAATGGATGATAGACACAAAACAAAGGAAATAAATAAGGAAATGTATACAAAGAAGAGCATTTATTTTTGGTATAAGGAGATCACAATCATTATTAACCGTTAGATGTGAAATTGGGTGGTTAAAGATGTGTCATTGACTAGACACAATGTCCAAAATAAAATTTCTTGAATGTTGTGACACACTTCAATATATCAGATTCCACATTCAATGGCTAAGAGTGATTGTGAACTTGTACCAAAAGTAGATAGCTTACAGAAAGAAAAAAAAAACGATAACATATGGAGAGAGAAAGAGAGAGGGATGGAGAGAGAGGGAGGGACGGAGGGACGGAGGGAAGGGAAACGAGAGATCAAAGGCCAAAAGAGAAAGAAAATTACTGATGACATCGTGTGACTTGATATGGTATAAATGTAAAATGAGTAATAATGCAAACTCGATCATAAACCCTAAACTTGATACCTCTCAAAGCACGGTAGAGAAGCTTGTCCACAACCTCAGAATACTCCTTATGTACCAGGTCATGCACCAATGATTTCCCCATCGCCTTCTCAACACTCAACCCCGTCAACTCTGCAACCTTCGCATTCCAGCCATTTATTTTCCCCAATGAATCAACTGCAAAGATGGGTGCAGTAGCTGTCTCAATCAACCTCACCATCTCCTTTGCCACCGAGCTCAACTCATCCATTCCCTGCAACTCCATGCCACTGATTTGTTGTGTATTCACCAAACTCTTTGAATTCCCAGTCTCCAACTCTTGAAAAGAATCCCTCAATATAAGTTGCAGAGAGTGGATAGCGTCCATCTCCACATTCTCCCAGGGCAAGCTGCGACTCTTCACCACCTCTAGGAAAGCCTTAAATGAAGAACGTGGATGCATTCTTTGTCCATCATCCTTATCTTCAGGGTGATGTTTGGCTCCACCCCACTTGATTTCTTTAGCAGTATGAGACCGAAACCAAAATAAAAAGTCTCTTGAAGTTATATTGGCAGCCGCCATGCCACAAACTGCATCACCAAGAGAGGCAGCACCTGGGTAGCCAGCATCAGCTAAGCTATCAGTGCTCAACCCCGTCGAATCTCCATGGCACGCAAGCATCCACTCTGCTATATCCTTAACTTGGGCTTCAGTTGGGGTCACTCCAAGTAACCAACAAGTACCCTTGTAGTATAGGGCAGCCCCATCACACTTGACAAGGTCCATTATACTAGGGCTTTGGGTCACAATCCCAATTGGAGCATCCCTTAGAAGCATATCACAAAGTAGAGTTTGGGTTCTTAATATCCGTTTCTCAGTCATTTGGGCAGCTAATTGGAGCTCCATATTTAACTGGAGGCCGAAGGCTTGCATCAAGAACTCACAGGCATAGCGAAGAGGAAAGGGAATATATCGAGGTGACGTGTGGTGGCACACAACAAGACCCCATAGCTTCGTCGGTTGGCGTGGGCCTGAGCCCTCTTCATCAGCTCCATTCACGATAACAGCCATAGCTAAAGAAGCTATTGAACCCATGTTGGCCATATATTGAGAATGGCAGCCATGGGGTGCTCTAAGTGTAGAACCCACTAAGCAAAGAGGCTGCATTAATCCATCATCTTGAATGACCTTAACTGGCTTAGCATGGCAATCACATATCATTCTCACTCTATTTTGTTTGAACAAAAACCTCGAGGCTTGAGGTATATCAGTAGCTGGGTAATGAAGGCCAAGATAGGGCTCAAGATCAGATCGCCTAATCTCTGCAACAACCTCACCATGCTCATCCTCATGAAACTTATACACCATGACTCTATCATAACCAGTAAGTTCTCTAACATGCTCAACCACTGTATCACACAATAAGCCAATATCACCACCAGGAAGAGATTGGAGCCTCGAAATTGCCCTAACTGCTAGCTTCTGAGACTGAACAGCCCCTGCTATAGAGAGAGCAGGGTCCTCTGATCGAGCAGGCTCTAAGTCTATAACAATACCCACATCAATCCTATGGAGAATTGCATAAAAGGGTTTTCCAGAATTCTTACAGTGAATCCAAACAGGGTTTAGAAGAGTGATTTCTCGAGCCCTAGCTGCCTTTGCCAGCGATAAAGCACTCGACGGGGTGAAAAGGGTTCTAACATCAGTATCCACCTTGAGAATTTCAGTCTGGTCCATGCTTGGAACTGCTTGAGGCATTAAATCAAGCATCTCAATGGCGTTTTCACTGTAGCTTATGACCCTGAAACTCGATTCTTCAATGGCAATCATGCACCCAAATGGTTGGATATGACCACCTCTTTGAATTTTAGAGAGATAAGCGGTGATTTGTTTTTCAGGAACTGATTCAGTGGTGGACTTGACCGATTGAGAATAATCGAAAGACTTACCTGATTCACCCGATTGCTCAAACACAGCATGAAGCCTGGCATCTGCATTGTATTGAGCAATTGCTTTGCTGATTGTCTCTGTGTTGTTATGGGTCCTGATATTGCTGGCTCCGGATGATTGAGTGTACGCCCCTCTTCTACCAGACGCCATTGCTTGTTCCTTCTGTCGCTACTCCCTCTCCCTCTTTACTTTTGCAGATGGGTTGGGTTTCTCTCCTTCTACAGGAGGGCTCTTTTCCCTCTTATATTCTTCACACGAGTTACTCTCTCTTCTGTTGCAGATGGGGTTCTCCAACTTGACTCTCTAACTTCTGCTCATGGTTTCTCTCTGCAAAGCTGAAAATGGGTTTCTCTCTCGAAAGCTGAAATTGGGTTGCCCTCTAACTCTGACGATGGGTTTCTCTAACACTGTAAATGGGTGCCTCTGTCTCTCTCCTGCAAATGGGTTTCTCCTTCCTCCTCTGTCAATTCTTCTCTCTTCTAATGCCTCAATCAATGGGAATTTCCTTTGGTATTTCGATTCCTATCAGGGATTGAAGCCATTTCTGCTACATGGGTATAGTAGTGGGCACAAAAGTCCGTTCTAGAGAGAGAAACATATGAACCGACTGATATGATCACTGTAATAGAAATCTTCTCACACACCCACCCAAAGAGAGAGAAAAAAGTTTCTCTTTCTTGTTCTGATAGGGGAGTCCGCCACCCTTCCCAACCGCCTCTCTCTCTCCATCAACACCATTGATGGAGGAGTCTCTCTCTAAATTTAGTCTCTTTCTCTCTCTAAATTTACTGATAGAGTCCAAAGGGGGCGTTCGCGTCGTCCCATCTCTCTTTAATCTGTGACTGATGGAGGGCCCTCTGCTCTCTCGTCCCTTTAAAGTCCATGGAAAAGTCTCCTTCCTTCTCTCTCTAAACCGATTCACAGGGCCAAAATCTCTCTCTCTCTACCTCCACTTTGGATTTGATTTTTTAATTGAAGATAGATTTTTTGTACGCTTTGGAATTTGGATAGGAGATATTGGGTTCCGATTGGTGTGTATTTTGTATACGGACGACAGGATATTCTGTGGACCTGCAAGTGGTGAGAAAATGATTGGTCCTCCTGTTTTTTTTTTTTTTTTCATTCTTTTATTTTTGCTAGTTTTTTCATAGATTGATATTTGTGGCTGGTTTTCGAATTTAGTGGTTACATCACAGTTTTGCCAAAGGGGTGTGGTTTGTATAGAGCCGACCCTCCAAACAATCAAAGTAGAGCGTACCTTCGAATAATATCGAGAAATATGGGCTTAATATTAGAAATCTTTGCGATACTTTAAAATATATTTTTATCTTTAATTATAAAATTTAAATCTCAAAAAATAGTATAGATCTAGCATATTTATGAAAATCTTGAAAATTGACGGTCTCAAAATACATTTAAATATGTATTATTTTTAAAACTTGAAATCCATTTATTTCTCATGTCCATGCATCTTGATATTTAGATGATCAATTTGACATTATTTAAACCTCAAAACAATCTTTTATAATGAAATTGTTTAGATGCTTTAATTTGATTGTTTAGAGCCTATGCTCTTTATAAACTTTTTCCTTTGCCAAAAAATTGTCTCTCTTCCTCGTCGTACACCCGTCTTTCTCGTGCATAATGGTCTTCAATCAACAGCCCGCCTGAAGCACAATGTGTACAATTGTGCCCTCAGACAAAAGGCTAATTTATGCGATTTTGTTTTTTTTTATTTGAAATTTTTACCTCGGAATTACTAGTTGATTATTTAAAGGGCAATTTATCAAAAGAGAGACTTTGTATAGGGTATCAATCTTTTATGGAAAAAGTTTATATAAAAATGCAACCTTATAATGTAGAACTACGGATCCACATCAAAAATCCATCGGAAGAGATAGTTTTAATGTTGAAAAATCTTTTGATTGATCATATCGACATTAAGATCTTTGACAATGAAAAATAAAAAGATTTTAAGTCTAAAAAATAGTGCATTTTACAACATATTATCTACACCGTCTTTTTTAAATTTTCATATGTTTATATATCTACTTGATTTTAATCATTTTTAAAATTTAAAATTTTATAATTAGATGTAAAAATAGATTTTGAGATAATCCTAAAAATATTTTACATCTACGGATGCATCTGTAAGCCAACTGCACCCATCTTTTACCTGTGGAAGTAAGTACTTCAAAAACCTACTAAAAAAGAAATCCATCTATATTGATCATCTTGACCTCTAGATATACAGATCATTATCATCATCAAAGCTTTTTCTCAACTTTTTGTAGTCGGCTACACGAATCATGAGTCATTATTCTACTCTATCAATGGTCATCCCCTTAGAGAGGCCATAAGATATTATAGATTCAAGATTCACAAAATGTTTTGGCAAAGTTTTATGTTGCATGCGTACCTAACACAAACTACGTCATTCATTTTCCAGAGCTTGAGACGGGTTAAGAGAAAGTTTAAGATCATCACCCTTTTATATCATGGACCTCCAGATATATGGGTATAAAAACAAAAAGATCTCAAATATAGAAAAAGGTGCATCTTGTAAAGTATTATCTAGACTGTTATTTTTTAATATGCTCGATCTATGTGGTTTTTGGAAGTCTAAATTTCATGAGATGAGCTGAAAATATATTTTTCAGGTTATTGCAGTGGTTTTCGGCAATAGAACCACATCTTTCAACACATTTTAGAGGTTGTTCTTGCTTTAATTGTTTAAGGTTGGCACCTTATACAAACCCCACCCTTTATTAAAATTCCCATAAAATATAAAGTATAACATTTCATTTGTTTGTTATTATTTCAAGCCATGGTTATGCGTCTTTTTATCGTCAGTCTGAAATTAAATCAGAAGACATAATGATGCAATATAAAATTCACCGGCAAACAACACTGACAAAAATAACCGTGTTTAAGAGAGAGAAAAAAAATCGTGAAGAAAATCATAAAAAGAAAGAACAAAACATACCGATCCGAGTATTCTGACACCGACCCATAAACACCAAAAAAAGAACAACACAACTCTCTCTCTCTACGATCTTAAAGATCAACTTTTTTCATTCATAAAATTCCCTCTAAATTTGTATCCACGTAAATCCAAAGTCTCCAACACAAAACCTAATAAGATAAAACCTTTGCATATCGAAAACAAAATTTGTTCGACGGACACCATCACTAATCATCAAAAACGATAACCATAAAAACTGAACTCATAAAAATTAGACTTGTAAAAACTAACCCCAAAAATCCTATTTTTAATAAAAAAGTTATCACATGGGTGTGGGATTTGACTTTTCTATAGATTTCTACCAAATTTATGGTGATTTTTGGGGTTCTATACATGTGGGTGGGAGATGGTCCTAAAAGATCATTTCTCTTTTTTAAGTTAGATCTGAGGTTGATACTTTTATATAGAGAGAGATTGAGAGTGAGATGGTGAAATGAAATGCCGAGAGATTGGCCATCCATCAAATCAAATAGAGAAAAAGATAGGGAGGACGTGATGAATCAATAGATAAAGAAAGGAATGGTTGGTAAACTCTATTTGCAATTCACATTCAGGTTCTTATTTATTTCTATTTGTATGTCCTAACAATAGTAGATGTTGTAAAAAAGAAAAATAAATTAGCTACTACTTATCCTTAGCTGGAGATTGGATCTCTTAATGATTAGTGGTTGTGGGTTCAAATCTCAAGGACAATATTAAATTTATCCAAAAAAATTAAAATTTGATGATGTCGGGGCTCACACAACCACATATACATACATGTTACATATACATACATGTTACATTCTTACTCACAGTGGAGAGGAGTTATGAGGAAGGTGGGGCTGATAAGGTATATGTCTTGGCGAGGTGAGTGAGAAGTTGTTCTCAAGTAAATAATGCTGATATGTCTGCCTTCAAAAAGAGGATTTGAGATCTTAATGGATCGATCATTGACAGGACTCGAACCTTGGACGTCAAAGTCTTGGGCTCTAATCTCTAAAGATAAAGTCTGATCCTCATCCAATAGAGATGGGCCAAAACATCTTTTCAAACACCTAATAAACAATGAAAAAGTCTATATAAGGTGTCAATCTTATACCGTATAAGTAAGCTACACCTAAAACCCACTATAGAAAGTTGTTCTTATGCTAGAAAACCTTGAAATCAATCATCTCGACCTCGAGATTCATATGTATGACAAAAATGGAATTTTAGTCTCAAAATAGTCTATTTTTTAATACATTATCTGGATCGTCCATTTTTAAGATTTTCAAGTTTTTATAGATTTGTTTGATTGTCACTATTTTTGGAACTTTAAATTTCATAATCGGAGGCAACAATAGATTTTCATATCATTGCAAGGCTTTGCGGCAATAAAACTACATTTTCAGCGTAGTTTTGAGCTGCACCTTACTTCAATACTATAAGGCTGACACCTTATACAAACCTCACCCATAAAATAAATAAATAAAGCCTTAAGTACTATATAGATGTGACTTTGAAATAATATCTCCCATGTAAAACCAAGATGGGCATGTAAGAAGGTTTAATCATGTGTCGACACTCGATTGACATAGGCTTAAACCTAAATACATGTGTCAAAAAAACATCTCAGCACGTTTCTATTTTTCCGTCATCGCATTCCTTTTGTTATAAACATTAAAAGTTTTTTTTTTATGTTTTCCTTTACTACTAGGGTTTGAGTGAGTAGATTTCATGCTCAAGTCATTCTTCATATAGAAAGCATGTTTTTGGCCTAAGAGTAAAGCTTCTTAAGACTCAATACCACAACCCAAGCTGAGGTTTTGGGCATTGTTGGGGGGCATACACAATGATTAATTTTGTTACAAGATGATTTGAGTTTTAACGAGTGAAAAATTTGAGAGGTTTCAAAGCCTAGAAATGTCATGCCTAAAGAACTTGGAGATTTGTACCTATCCAGTTCCCAGCTCACTATAAGTGAGATTAGTGAAAGATATCAAAAGAGCTAAAAAATTTCACAAACATAAGGTAACTTTCCCTTGTTTACTTCAATTGATTTTCTGGTGGGATTTTGCCAGAATTTGGCATTCTCTGGTGGCTTTTCTGGCTAAAAATAGTGAGTTATGGAGTTTTCGGCGAGATCTTGGCCTAGATTGGGAATTTCGCCCTTCTAGGCACTTTTATTTTTTAAAGGGAGACTATCAAACGTTCCTAGTATGTTACAAAATCAACGAATGGCTCAAATGATCTCATTTACTAGTACAAGATTTATTTTTCTCATTATGACCTCTATACACAAAAAACAAATGATCTCTTTGTAGACAATCCCTTGATCTAAATTAGCACCTGACTGGGTGGCATGCTGCATGCCAACCTAACTTGGCTTGCACAATACACAATGAAACTTAAAGAATGGAATCCTTTTTGTAACTTGTCAAGCCCTGTTATAAATTCATTAAGATAGTCAAATTATCTTATTGAGCATTGAAATTGTTACTTTAAAAATTTTATTTCACCCAAGTGCCTTACTAAAAAATTGGTAAATCATGACAAAATTAGTTTTGGGATGAGAACCCTGAACAAGCAAAGATATTCAGTAACCTGCCCTACTTGTCTAGTGTTGGCTTCAAATGTGAAAAAATGAATTTTATGTTACTAATTTGAACAAGTGAAGGAATTTTTGTCATTTCAAAATTCATGTTGCTCGCCCCATGATTGAGGTTTTTTTAATCAATTAACTCGGTCCACTAAAGTAGGGCCAACGTAATTTTATATATTCTTTAAAGAAGTAATCGAGTGAAATCAAATCTAAAAAGTGGAAATCATTTGGAGCAATCTGCCCCTTCTTAATAATTTTGTATGGTTTACTTTACCCAATTAATTGGTATTTACTTAAAAAGAGGGAAAATAATAACTTCTTTTATCAATGTCACCAAAAATTTGGATATTCAACGTGATTAT